TGTAATAAATGAATGAATGAATTGTACAATTGATGGCAAATTCCACTAAAGTTTCTATAGGGGATGTGCCATGGCATACTGCTCAGTATTAATTCCGAGAGAGGATGTTGTGAACTTAATATGCTTCTCAATACAACAAAATGAACATATGTTGAACTCTGTTGTTCATTTTTCAGTTTTTGTAGTACACTAATCAGTAAATATTTCCATTGTGAAACTTGTTGAATGAAAAAGAGATTTTTTCAAAAATTGAGAATGACGTAATATTGCAACATTTTCAAAGCATAAGACCCCATAGAATGCACTTGTCTAAGATCACCGTTACATAGTAGGTTGTATCGCATATTTCTTTAGTATTTTGGATTGTATTGAATTATGTTTTCATATATATATAATTTTTACGTTTTAGTGCATTTTCATATATATTTAATAATTTTTAATATTATTTAATCAAATATTAATAAACGACATCGCTATTATGATCGTTGATTGTCGAGGTCAATGGTCAACGTCTGCCCGAGCTAAACTTTTGTGCTGAGTCCGCCACTGACCTCATTGGCTCAAATAGATAGTAGAATAGAAATGATAGTACAACCAGGAAAATGAAGCGTGCAATGCGATTGGTCATGATCTATCGTTATGAAGTTTTGCAAGTGAAAGTTTTAAAACTGAAGATGAATACCAGATGAGCAGCAACGTCTTTTTCACGAGGTACAAGAAAATTATGGCAAGAATGACAATGGCTATCCAAGCTACCTACACATGAAAAAGGTTACAGAAGTAAATAATCACCATCATGAAAATAATTTAGTTCAGTTTATTTCAGCTACCAGGAAAATATTTGTGACACAAGAGAGAGACTTTCGACTAGATCAGCAATTGATACGAAACTTGTCCTTGAATATTGATTTTCATTCTCACTTCTTGACAAAAATCAACTGCTAATGCATAGACCTTCACACAAAATAATGACTATCGGCAAACAGAAACTTCAGAAGCCAGAGAAGGGCTTACAATTCCATCGGGAACTCCTGATTGAACTTGGCGAGGGAAAATATACTCCGCATCCCGTAGGCCATTATGACTACGATGTCCTTCCTCATCAAACTATAAAACAAACATGACAATTCTTCAGTTCATTTAGCTTGACAAAAAATAATGCGGAGACAAAAATAATTCTTCGGTTCAGTTCATTCTCACTTCTTGACAAAAATCAACTGTCAATGCATAGACCTTTACACAAAATAATGACTATCGGAAAACAGAAACTTCAGAAGCCAGAGAAGAACTTACGATTCCATCGGGAACTACTGATTGAACTTGGCGTGGGAAAATATACTCCGCATTCAGTAGGCCATTTTGACTCTGATGTCCTTCCTCATCGAACTATAAAACAAACATGACGATTCTTCAGTTCATTTAGCTTGTATCTGAAATAAAGAGTTCTATAAACTATAAGGGCGTGTTTTCTAATGCTTCTGGGAACCGTGGTTAAAGAAATGATCTTGTTCAGAACAGTTCTGGAGAAGTCTTGGTTTTGAGGCCAAAACTTTGTCCAATTTTCTCAAGTTATTAGACAACACTTTTGCATGGTACTTGTAGTCTTGTGGATGTTGTCACATCTTTGAAGCAACCAAAAAGAGGTTAATCAGAATTCTCGAACCAGCCTTAAAATATATCCGAGAGGCTAGAAATAGAAAACAATGTCGGCCTCAAACAAATTGTGCTGATCAATGTTGGTATGATTACCAGTATTTCAACGTCTTCTATGGTTGCACCAGAACTCACGACTAAACTCTGAATCAGAAACTTGTTCTCACATTGCATGTTGTGAGGAGCCTCCTCCAAGGCTTGCATTGTTACTGCAAAACATG